CTGCCCACTTTTGTTATGTGCAAAGTAATTCCAACGAGCATATGTGATATGTGTGTGTCGTCTACCTGGTTCACGTGTTTTTTCAACAACTCTTGCTGTTTTGCAGCCGTGCGGCGTGCCAGAAGATTTGCTTGAAGGTTGAAGGTTAATGTGTTTGCAAGTTTGCTCAACTTCTGTAAAGTTTGGATATCGAGTACGCACTGACTGCATCGGCCGCCTAGCAACTTTTGGACCCTGCACCCTGGTCAACAACATAGCTAAGACTACCTCGTGGGCCTTGATATACGATTTTTTAGGGGAATTAGTTGAGCCCTCGATCGTGATCATTAACAGCTTTTGCTTCGCTTTAAAATACATGCACACCACCAGTTGCTACCTCTCGGCCCGGGTTCGCGGTCACCACGTGCGTGGGCGCTGCTGGCGCCGGGCTTAGGCCGTGGCCGGGCTGCTGCCGCTGGCCAACTCGCGCGCCCGGGTGAGGCCGTGCATCGCCTACGGCCTAGCGTTGGTCGGTCCCAGCTGGCTGCGGCTGGTCTCGCTGCTGCACGCGTGCCGCGCTCGCACGGCTGGCCGCTGGGCTGTGCCGTGGTTGCGGCTGTATTGCGCGATGGACGTGGTGCTCGCCCCGCTCCTCGTTCTACCTACCCCACTTGGTCCTTAAGCTGGAACCTTGCCGACGTGACGAGTCGAGGTTCGGACGCAGCGGCGATGGACATTTCCCTGCCTCACCCTGTTCCGCTAGCCGGCGCTGGTGAGCCCGCTCGGGTTTTGCCACTTCATTCAAGCGCGTCGTGAAAGGCCGCCTGGTCTCGTCACCTATGCGCACGTGCTCTTACTACAGCTATCGGTCGAAGCCGCCGTCTTAATCCACTCGAGCTCACTCATGTGCCTCTCCATGACATGACCACAGCAGGAGCACTGCGTGCTCTACCTCTCGATTCGCTTAGCTCGGAGCTCCGCAGTTCAATCCCTTGCACTAGCAAGTGGCCTAGGGAGTCGACTAGCCAGGCGACTCTTATCGAGGCTTTGCCGCGCCTCGGCGCGAACAAATTTAGTGTTTCTGCGGCCGCCGGTCACCACGCCTCCGAAACAGAGCATGACTTGGGGGGTAAGGCCCAGCCCCTCGGTAGGGGTTCAACTAGTTGTTCCTATGAGCTCACCTTGGTCCCCTCATGCTGTTGCTCACCTTCGTTTGACCAGGACCAGACACAAGTGAGGACCTGACGCGTCGGTGTCAACCTTGGAGCGCCGCCGCCCCGCTCGGTCGCACGTGACCAGGCCGTTGCAGTGCTCCCCTGCTTCAACCATCAGTAGGCCATGCACCACGGTGAGCTACTGATGCTCCTCCGCCATCTCTACCTTTCTGTGAGGGCGTAGGATCGCCGGAACAGTCGCGCCACCGCCGCCGATACCCGCTCGTCGCTGCAGTCCGCGACAGTGCGCCTCCAAGTCCCTAATCGTCACCCATCCTTGCGTGTTTAGCTGTAGATGGTGGTTGGCCCCTTACTTCCGTCGTATCGAGCCTAGTTTGCCCGGTGTAACCGCCGTTGCCGCCGGTGTGCCACGCCGCCGTGCGCGGGTACGCCGAGGACCGCCCCGTTGCAAAGGCAACACATTCTAAGGTTTTTAATGCAAAGTGTGGGTCTATAGTAATAGTGTTCCGTTGCTCCACGTGATTATCCGAAAGCCCGAGCTCTCTTTTATAAAACGCGAGCGCGCGCGGGTGCCCCCGGCCTTAGGCCATTGCTGGGCCGCCGCTGCGCCACGCTGGGCTGCTGGGCCGAATTGGTCACCACCGGCCCTTTTCCTTTTCTAAGCATTTTCTAATTTAGCTTCTAAGGTAAATTTGTAAATTCAATTTAAAATTATGTATTTAACCAAAAATTGTGAAACCAATTTTGTTAAGTTTCTAAAATCATAATCTATTTGCTAGTATATTTTGTTCACGTAGTTTTATAATATTTTCCAAAGTTATCTAATTAATTTGAGATGCTTAATATTGTAAAATATAAACTTGTAGAATTTTTTATGATAAATTGGTGATAGTTTTGGCTCTGAAATTTTCACGGTAAATTCCTAATATTATTATGTGCTCACTGTAAATTTTGTAGCTCCATAATAATTAGTTTGCTAGGTAGCTAAATGAGCCATAATTCGAAAATATATGTTTAATCAATAAAATGCCAAAACACCTTAAGAGTTTAGGACTAAAACACTTGTTGGGAAACAAAGCCTTACTTGACGAAGTGTATACGTAGACTAGTACGTTAGTCATTAAAGTGAGCTCGTTAGCTTGCGGAACGTAATCGTAGTTTAGAGTTGCAGTTACCATTGATTAATTACGTCTCTACGTTGTATCCACGTATATCATAATAGGAACAACGATGGATCATGGAGTCAACCGAGGTAGCAAAAAAGATGGTGCCTTGATGATCGTGTCATCATGATGGAATGCTAACTTTTGGTTATATCTTACCCAGACAAGCCCCGATGTATAACCCCTATTATTCTACACTTTATCTTATGCTTGTGCATTAAGTTTTAAGGAGTTGAATGAAAACCACTTACCTATATATATCCTTATCCTATGAGTACTACTAGTATGTCAGGATCGTGTAGATTATTAAGCTATAGGATCCGGTAGAAGTCGAGTGATTACCTGTCACTCGTGAGAGATAGGAAAGATTTATTGTTGTTATTATATTACTGTCACATGAAATATATATGAATGATAATTGGAGACCGGGTGAAATGATACTTTGGATCTGGACTTGGTTAGGCATTCGAGCGAGGCTCGGATTGCACTTGTTCCACCTATGTCGATTGAGGACCGTCCATTGCTGTGGATGGTAGTCAGGTCACAGACTTATTATTCTGAACACATACTTGCTTATGGGAGCGGGAAGACTCGTTGCTCTCTTATCGTGGGTTCTGGTTCTTTTCGGATCGACTGATTGGAGGCGGGGATGGTGGAAGTCTAAGCACCACACTGAGTCTGGGACTCAGGAGTGGGGGCTTGGAGTCCAAGTTTGGACGAGGACCTAGACCCCTTAACAGGAGAGTGGTAGGTTGGTTTTGCTTGTGCCTGGAGTACAAACGGGGTGTGTGTTTCAGGGTACCCAGCTGGGATACATTGGTTCGCGAATTACCGTGTGATACGGTACGACTTGGCTATGATTTAGCACCGTAGTAAGACCTGGAATATGAAAGACGGTAAAATAGTTCTGATTGCTTACCACCTGCTTAAAAGTAGCACAGGTGTTTACATAGAATGGTTAGTTAAGGAACTAATGATGACTGCTAATGAAATTGAATATAAGGACGCACGTTTAGTAATGCTTCCGCAGATGCAATAACCCACAAGCCAGGTAGCCTTGCATATCCTTGAAGTCTTTTATTTTTCTCCTATCGGGTAAGTCTTGTTGAGTAAAATCGAGTACTCAGGGTTTTATTTTACCCTAGTTGCAGGTGATAAGAGGATGCTTAAAAGCTGACTCTTGTGTGTGGAAACCTTCAGGTGGACTCAGAGAAGATTCCTTTCCCGCTACAACCATAGTGTTTATTTATAACCCTCGCTAAAGATATAAAATCTGCTAGCATCTCTTGTATAAAAATATCCACTATGTTAATGCTCCATCATATCATTAAATTAATCATGTTTTCTCTGTAACTCTGATAACATTGTTATATTCCATTGTTATAATAAATTGAGGTAATATTCTGGTACTGTAATAAGGTGGTGTAAGAAATGACTTAAGAATGTTGTAAGCTTTATTCTCTCATTTGTGATCCTGATGGAAAAATATAAATTTTTGAGTTCTCTCTTGGGTGTGCTCGACGGAACTACGTAGTTTAGTATCCTCTCTTGAGTACTTAGTGTCTAATGGAAGACAAGCACTCCTAGGAAGACATTTGATTAGGAGGTTCTACCACAACTTGCAACATATGTCAGAAACACTTGCGAAACGCCAGAAAAAACTTGAAAACACATGTGTAGTAACTGCAAAAACATTTGCAACATCCACATGATACACTTGCATAATACGTATAAAATACCTGAAACACTTGAAACATACACTTGCAACATGCATGTATATGCAACATCTAGATAAAACACTTGCAATATACGTCTAAAACAGATGAAACATTTTGAACAAACTATTGCAACATACGTGTATAGCCATTGCAACATGTGTAACATCTTGACCTACTTTTACAACAATGATATAAAATACTTACAATATACCTTTGAAATATTTGAAACATACATTTGCAACATATGCTTTCAGCGTAACATCTCCTTGCTACTTGGGAGAATGGAGGCTCATCGATGTGTGGAGTTCACCGGTGTAGATCTCGCTGCTCCGGTGGAGAAGGCCGCGACATGTCCGTTGTAGAAGGGTGCGGCGAATCTAGCGCGAGATGTCACTGCTCCGGTGGAGAAGGCGGTCTGCGCGCTGGAAAAGGCTGCGACGGGTAGGAGGCACGATGGAGATGGAGGAATGCGGGCGGCTGCACTCGAGGCACGGTGGATATGACGGACGGCAAGCCCCAAGGACATCATTGCGTCGAAGCGTGGTCGCGGTGGAGCAAGGTTGCGACGTTGCGGTGGAGAGCCTTCGGGAGAATGGAGTTCAAAGGGCTATGGTTAAAGGTGAGTGGACGAGAGGATACAACTGTTAGAGCGGTTATGCTGGTGTCGCGGCCCGTGAACAGGAACGTCCAGATGATCGGGCGCCTTGACCATAACATTTCCATTCAGAGAGTGCTCAGATGTCATTGCTGCTTGATCATATATTCATATCAACGAATGGTTGAGATTTGGCAGAGGTTTGGGCCAAAAAGCTGATACTAAAATCGACATTCTCGAGGTTAATGTACAAGGGCAGATTACACCTAAGTACAACATTACCAGTAGTACATCCTTGGCTAATCAACAACTGTTTACGGCTTGCTAAGATGCTAAGTTCACTACGACACTCGCAAAATTTTGCATCCCGTCAGGCCAAGTACTCCGAGACGGCGAAGGAGCAGCTCGACGATTGGCCCCTCGAGTGCGCGCTCACCGGCGACACCGGCGCGGGCGTGGCGGCGGCGCCCGTGGGTGACGGCTGCTTCGCGTCGTCCGCCGCCGCGGGGCGCCGGATCTCCTTGAGCAGCGCCACCACGTCCTTCATCGCGGGCCGGTCGTCCGCGTGGCGCGACACGCAGAGCGCGGCCACGGACAGCACCTGCCGCATCTCGTGCACGTCCGCCTCGGCCGCCCTGGCCCGCAGCCGCGCGTCGAGGAGCTCGGCCGCGTCGCGCTTCGCCTGCACGTGCTCGCGCATCCACTGCACCAGGTGCGCGCCGCCCGACAGCGTCGGGTCCAGCGGGTGCCGCCCCGTCAGGATCTCCAGCAACACGACGCCGAAGCTGTACACGTCGCTCTTCTCGCTGATCCGCTGCATCGACGCGTACTCTGCTTATTTACGCAAAAAAGAAAAAAAAATCTTGTCAGAAAAAAATTGAACGAAAATGTTCGTAGAATCGTGAATGCTCGAAAAAGCTGCTGCGAAATCTCGACCTGGTGCCATGTAGCCGTACGAGCCGGCGATGCGGGGCTGCTTGCCGGTGTCGACCTTGGAGCTCGCGGCGGCCAGGACGCGGGCGAGGCCGAAGTCGGCGAGGTACGGCTCGTAGGCCGGGCCGAGCAGCACGTTCATGGACTTGACGTCGCCGTGCAGGATGGCCGGCACGCAGTCGTGGTGCAGGTACGCCACGGCGTGGGCGACGCCGAGCGCGATCTCGTAGCGCGCGCCCCACTCGTCCGCGGGCGAGCCCTTGGCGGCGTGGCCGCCGTGCAGGAGGCCGCTCAGGCTGCCGTTGGGGAGGTAGCCGTAGAAGAGCAGCCTGGTGCCGCCGTTCGCGGCCCACCCGAGGAGCCGCACGATGTTGCGGTGGCGGATGGAGCCCAGCGCCGCGATCTCGCTGCGGAACGCCGCCGACGTCGCTTCGTCCGACGACCACATCTTCTTCACGGCGAGGGTGTACCCGTTGGGGGTGTCCACCTTGTACACGGCCCCCGAGCTGCCCGTGCCGATCATGTTCGCGGACGTTAGCCCTCGGAGCACGTCGTCCATGGTGATGTCGAGCTTCTGGTACAGTGTCACCTCCCACGAGCTCTCGCCGTGGATGATGCGGTCACCGCCGCGGCGGTGCGTGCGGGCGAGCATATAGGTGGCGGCCACCAGGAGCAGCGCGCTGACTGCGGCGAGGATGGACATGGCTATCTTCAACGACGAGATGGCTCCATGCCGGGAGGACTCGTCAGAGCCGTCGCCGACGACGAGATGGCGGTTGCCTGCTAGGTCGCTGAGGGGGAGCTTCTGGAAGAACGGAGTGTTCGGGAGCTCGCCAGAGAAGGCATTGTAGGAGATGTTGAGCGTGACGAGGTTCTGCAGCGCCGCGAGCGGCTCAAGGCTCCCCGAGAGCTCGTTGTGCGACAGGTCGAGGCTGCCGAGCTTGTCAAGGCCAGCGAACTGCGACGGTATCTCCCCTGAAAGCCTGTTGGAGCTGAGGTTAAGCGATATCTCCAATGAAGGTAGCATCCCGAGCTCCGACGGGATGCCACCGGAGAACGCGTTGCCGCCGAGGTCCAGTAGCTGGAGCTTCTCGCACGAACCGAGCTCCCGCGGGATGCCGCCGGTCAGCCGGTTGTTTCCCATGTACAGCTTCGTCACCTCCGGCATTGACCCGATGCTGGAGCTCAATGGCCCGGAGAGCTGGTTGTCTGAGACGTCAATGAGCTGAAGACTGCGTGGCAATGTGTCCGGCAATGCGCCGGACAGAGCATTGGAGTGCAGGTCGAGGAACTCGAGGCTGGCGCACCCCGAAATGGCCGCGGGCACCGGGCCGACGAGGTGGTTCTCACTCATGTCGAGGAAGTTTAGGTTCTTGAGGTTGCCGATCTCGGCGGGAATCGTGCCGGACAGTCGGTTGCCGTTGAGCCGGAGCCGGTACAGGTTGGTGCAATTACCGATCTCCGGCGGTATGAGCCCGGACAGCTCGTTGTTCAGAAGCAGCAGCTTGGTCAAGTTCTGGAGCCCGAACAGCGCCTTGGGGATGGGGCCGGTGAGGTTGTTGGACGACAGGTCAACCGCCTACAGGTTCGGGGCCTCGGCGAGGCTCGCCGGCACGCCGCCAGTGAGCCGGTTCTTCCACGCGTAGAACAGGGTGAGGTTGCGCAATCTCGTGAAGTCGATGCTGATCTCCCCGGACAGCAAGTTGTTGTCGACCTCGATGTCTGTCAGCGACGTGCAGTTGGAGAGCTCCGGCGGAATGGTGCCGGTCAGCTGGTTCGTGCTCAGCTGCAGCTGCTGGAGATTCTGTAGCCCGCCCAGACTGGCCGGAATGCTCCCGGTCAGCGAATTCAGCGACAGGTCAATGAGCATGAGCTCCTTGCACTGTCCGAGTTCTGGGGGAATTGCGCCGACGAGCTGGTTCTGCCACAGAAGCAGCGTCTGGAGCTTCTTGAGCTGGCCGAGCTACGACGGCATCGTCCCGGAGAGAGAATTCTGGTATAGGTACAGGCTGGTGAGCTCGGTGCAGTTGCCGATGGACTCCGGGATCCGGCCGGAGAGCAGAGTGGTGTAGATGGCAATGGTCTGGATCTTTTTGAGCTGCCCGATCGTCTCCGGGAGGCTCCCTGAGACACCAGTCTCCGCGAGCCGGAGCATGCTGAGGTTACTGCATCCGCCGATCTCTGGCGGCAACGGACCCTTCATCTCCTAGTTCCCGCCTGCGCGGAGCACCTGCAGCTTCTTCAGGTTGCCGATGCTGGCCGGGATCGGCCCACTGAGCTCGTTGTCGTAGAGCGTCAGATACGCCAGGCTTGTGAGGTTGCCGATGTCGTCCGGGATGGCTCCGCGCAGGGAGTTGGAGTTGAGCGCGAGCGACTCGAGCTTGGCGAGCCGGCACAGCTCGGCAGGGATCGCGCCGGTGAGCTGGTTCTTGCTAAGGTCGAGGGTGGTCACCTCGCCGTACCCGCCCATCTCCTTTGGTATCGCGCCGGTCAGGTTCGTGCCAGAGAGCTCCAGCGTCTTGAGCGACGCTGCAAGCGGCTGCAGGTTGGCCGGGAGCGGACCCTGGAGGTCGACCGAGGTGATGCTCAGTCTGACGACGTCGCCGCGCACGTTGCACGACACGCCGGTCCACCGGCACGGATTGGAGTCCGCGGCGCGCCACGAAGCCAGCGCGCCGCTCGCCGGCCGCAGCGTGTCTTTCCATCGCAGCAGCGCCTGGCCCTGCTCGTTGACGCAGTGGCACGGCGACACCAGCAGCAACGCGCAGGCGAGCGGCACGAGAAACGCGAGCTTCGGTGCCGCGGCGCGGGACCGTGGCGGCATTGGCGGCGCGCGCCTCGGTGGCGAGGCTGAGGCGGGCGGGTGACGTGAGGAGAGGCGAGGGGGGCGGCAATGCGGTGGATGGATGGCTTTGTGAGGTGGCGCGCCTCGCAAGCATTGGGATTGTAGAGGGGGAGACCCCATGAATTGTTTATACAGGGAAAGCACAGGAGATCTGGATCCAAATGAGCACCGAGCAATTGCTACAATTTGCCCCTTCCAAAAAAATCCAAACAAAAGAACAGATTTTCGATTGATTGTTGCAGTGTTGTGTGTGACAGTGTGCTGCTGCTACTAAAGAGCAGGCTTGATTGGATCTTGGCCTGATCACTTAAAATAATTGTACTGGATTTAGTTTTTAATCAGGAAAATGGACACTGGATGCAGTTGTGCACTTGTGCTAGTGACGGGGAAGATGAGAGGAAGGTGGTGTGGTTGGTGTCATGATCTGCATATGTTTATCGCCTGTTGGTGTACTTATTACTGCCATTGCACCCTGAATTATTAATTGCTGCTGCTGTCTTTGGAGGTGAAAACATCTCTTCCTCGTGTTCTGTGAAAACAGATTAGTGCTAATTCTCTCGGTAATCGGACTTTTATCCAATGTTCCATGGAAGAGCATTTTGCATGCAGTGTCAGTTATTCTTAATCCCTGAACCTTTGTACCGTTGGTACAGGAGTTGACAGTGGCTGTTGCTGCTGGCTTTAGGCGTATGTAAGCTTCTAAAACGTTTTCCGACGGCCTGCTGTGACAGTGCTGCTTTACGGTTACCCTGCTGTGAGCCTGTGACGGTACTGCTTTACGGCTACCTCTTTACAGGTAACTACTGCTCTGCAGGTATCCTCCTTGCTGCAAGTCTACTACAGCTGTAAAAAAATGCATCTTTCGATGCTAATTCAACATTTGAAGTCTTAATGTTCACATTTGCTTTACCATTACCTGCATTCATCATTGCCTGCAACTGCAATGCAGTCCCAGAGACCTTAATCTTGTCAGGACTTGCTACTAATAATTGCAAAAATACTATTACATCCTCTTTTCAGGCATTGTAATTTGCATGTACTGCTCAGTTTATGCGCATCCATGAGTGATCCCAAATTAGTCTTTCTGCAGCTCAGTAACGGGTAAATCTGTCTGAGCCCCAGAATGTTCAGTCACATGATCAAGTTTCTGCAAAAAGGAGATCACCATGATACTAGAACTGCCAACTTAATTGCTTCCTTTGAAGTGTGAACTCATCATGGGCATCAGTGAGAGGCCTGCTGGTTAAACAAAAGGGGTAAGACAGTGGGAATAAGAGAGGAATCTTAGGGTGCACATGGCGGTAAGAGAAGGGGGTGAAGTTTAGTACAATGCAAAGGCATAAAAAAAAACTTTCAGCAACTTACCCATGTGAATAGGTGGCAAATCGCTGGAAAGTAACTGAAAAAGATTGGATGAGCGGTGATGAAAATAAAAATTTTGGAGAGAGAACATGTTCATGTCTTTGAGTGGAAGGGACAATGAGGAATAAGATACTAAGATAACCACCCTATGGTTCATAGTTAATTCCATGGATCTATCTTAGCTTAGCATCATCACCATGGCTGGTAGATCCCTTTGATTTTGATAACTAAAATAACATTTCCACATCAAGCTTACTTACTTTTAAAAGCCCGAATGGCAATGCACAATCCTTGGAAAGAGAAATGCATGTTTGCCCACTGCTTGGTGGATACAATTATTTCATTATTGTTCGTAGTTCGTACATTGTGTTTCCATTTTTTCAGATCAATTATCCAACACCTTTTTTTATTCAATTCAGATGAAATGTTCACTCCGAATCTTACTGGGGATGAACGCTCTCCAGTTGCAAAATTTGGATTTCAACTGAAGAGGCTCCAATTATTTTGCCTGTTTTGTTAGAACTAATCATATTACTTATGACTTGTTAGCATGTATCAGTGAAATTCTGGATTTCAAGTCAACTATGTAAAAACAACTCTCTTTAGTAGTAATACCAATATTAAACTAAACAAATGAACAAGTCATGCCAATCAACCGTCATTCGCGCTTAACTCGAGGTTAGAATGTGGCCACATGGGTGATGATGGACAAGCCAGGAGACATGTTAGGTACCACACATGGTTGATAATGTTGGAGCATTATGGGGTGGTGGTAAACATCAAGGGAATATGGGGTTGATTTGGATTCAGATCCCATCAAGGGGCCGGGTAGTGGACAAGACGGAGCCAGGGAGCACATGGTTAAGTTTGAAGCAGACTTTGTCCCGGGTTAATTAGGATAATCCTGTACCTCCTTAAAGTACTGAGGCACAGTTCTTTGACAGCTAATTCTTCCGTTAGTTCTCTGACAGTATGACATTTCTCAGGTCTGGCTGAAGCCAAGATCTGATCCTAAGCATCATGTTCCTTCAGTTAAAAAAAATGCTAGTACATCTTTTAAATAAAATTCGATCGACTTTACACGGATAGATCTGATTGGGGAATAACTCTAGGTGTACTGTCAAAAGGTAAGTTGAATTAATTGTCAGTTAAGAACATTCTTCACTGGAGGGTTGAAAGTTGAACTAGTTAAAAATTCTTCACTGGAAGGTTGCAAGGACACAGCTTCAGTTCTCAAATTCAGTCATTTTTTGACTGCATAGAGCAGTGCATTTTGATTTTTGACTGCTAGAAGTAGCTGTCAAAATTGTTTGGCATCTTGATCACTACTATATATATATAGCTGTGGGGGCCACATTCTCCAGAATTCAGTACGTAGCCAGCTATATGTAGCTCGAGGAGTCACATTCTCCAAAATCAGAACAGTTCAATCACTGCTGCTCAGCAACAGCAAAGAGCTTTTTCATTGTCTCACAACGTCACTCCTTGCTTGCAAACTGATAGGCATAGGCCCAAGCTATCAATCCAGATTGCTAGCCACAAGCCACAAGCCAGCGCATCTGATAAACGCTCAATGGTATAAATTTTCTTCGCCTGTAACGTTTACAATTTAACCATGGTAATTTCTGGTAAGAACATTCTTTCGCAAACAAACTGCAATAGTTTAAGATGGTAGCAGAATGGGTTTAACTTGTTCGAGGTTCTGTTAATCTCCTTGCGAAGTATACCTATGAAATGCTACATTTTCTGGTCGGACCAAAGCTGAACAGGTATTGATTAGTTTGGGGCATTTCTGCCTGCTGCACTGACACTGAGCCTACCTGATCATAGCTTTCCGTGTTCATCTTCCAGGTTAAAAATTAGTAGCATAGGGCATGAGAAGGACATAGATTCGGTCCAAACTGATGAACATGGAGATGAAAATTAGTGCAAGTTGGATGTATCTTATGAAGTAGATGAACACCTATCATAAAATTGGGGCTTTCCACTGCATGCATGACAATATATATAATAAAAGATACAAGACAAACAACTCGCAAAAAAAAAAAAGGATACAAGCAAAGCAAATTATATTGCAGGATCTTCAAATGAAAGCTGAAGTTTAAGGATCCAATAATTCATACAAACCTTGATGTCAAAGCCCCCTCACGTCACTATGAATCCTAGAACTGGATATGGATGTAATCATGCCCACTCCATTAGCTTAATACACTTGGCTTTTGTGCCATCTAATAATCGCTCATTAACATTTGATATAGTTCAATTATTGTAAATCAACAACTTGTCCACATTTAAAATCATCAGAAAGGAACTTCTCACAAAACTTTTCTTAAAAAAAAGTAGATTTATTAGGTGATTGGTGATGTTGCATTTGGGTTGTGAGTGAGAATGGGTAGCTCTGGCCTAACTACCTAGCCACTCTGGTAGTTCTGGCGGCACTACCCCATGTTTGGTGTTTTCCCAGAATACACGTTGCAAAAGGGTGAGTTGTCGCAAGCTTTGGAGCACACAAAAAGAGCACACCCGTATCACTGCAGCATGACCTTTCCGTGTTTACATTGGAACCTCTGAACTTTATACATGCATGGAGGATGTTACGAAGCAAGAATTGAGATCCATGGCCATGGCTACCCTATATGGTCTTCGAATTTTAGGCCTTGTTTGGAGAGTAGGGATTTTACCAATTCTTCCAAGAATTTGCTGTTTGATGTGAATTATTGCCTTTCGAACAGGAACCCTTCCGCTTTCTTTGGTCACATCAATGTCTTCTAAGCACAATGCCTAGTAATTGGAGCTGAAATTGCAATCCTTGATTTCAGGGTTTTGCTCTAAATTAGTACACGCGTACCTGCTTTATCTTCGTTATTTATATAGGGCAAAAGATTGCAAAAGGGGCCCCAAGGTTTGTAGTGCTCCACAAGAGTTTAGTGTAGGCATTATCTTGATATTTCTTTTGATTTGCTTACCTCGGAGAGAAGATGTGGAAGATCCACACGAAGGAATAAGAAAAACAAACAAAACAAAAATATATTTGCAAACATGTGCAAAGGTTAAATGGATGGAATCTTGACTATGTGTGCAGCGTGTATGTATGAATGGGGCTGTTTGGGGCCAACAATAAACTTTGGCCCCTGTTCGCGTGTCCTTAAACCCGGCTTGATCCGCTTTTTTTTTTTTCATCCAGAACAATGTTTTTCTCTCACAGATTCCTCCAAGCGAACGAGGTTTTATGATACACCAACCTTTGGATGCATTTGTGCGTATCCACATAGTGCATTCCAAAATCAATTTTTAATCATTTGCAACCAAGATTGGGTATAATGATATCATAGTCAATGTATTTTACTCCTTTTGTCCCTAATTAAATTATTTCTTGAGTTGCTTTAAGTCAAACTTTTTAAAGTTTGATCAAATTTATAAAAAAACGTCAAGATTTATAACACTAAATTAGTATAATTAGATACACCATAATCTATATTTTCACAAGGTGTTCGTTTAGTGTCACAAATATTTATATTTTTTCAATACATTTGGTTAAAAAAGTTTAACTTAAAACAATTCTAAAGATTAATTTATATTCAGTTATTCGGGGGAGAGGCAGTAGTATTAAAGATGAGCAAACGGGCCACCCGGCCCGGCACAGGCCCGTGCCAGGCACGGCTCCGTAGGGCACGGCACGGTCGAGCACGATGGGCCACCGGGCCATGCCGCCCCAGTCCGCTGTGCTTGGCCGACGGCCCAGGCACGGCCCGTCGGGCCACTTTTCGTGCCGGGCCTTTTTAGTAGGCCTGGCCGGCGCGATGCCCGTGTCTTCGCGCCCCTGCCGCTTCGAGGTCACGTGGCTGAGCGCCGCCGCCGCGTCGGCTTCGCAGAGGAGGGAGGGAGGAGCCGTGGCCTGGCTGGGGACTCCGGGAGGGAGGAGCGAGGTCGCGACGCCGCGTCGGGGACCGCCGCCGCATCCATGGCGCCGTCGTGGGTGGGAGGGAGGAGCGCAGTCGCTTGCTCACTGCCGCATCTGGAGAGGAAGCGCTTGCGGGCGGAGCAGGAGGTGGCCGCGCTACTCGATGCTGGCCGCTGTGTTGGGGGCGTAGAGGAGGAGGGCGACGCCGGCGGCAGGCCTCTGCGCGGTGCGGCCGGGAGTAGGGAGGAGTGCGGCGCATGGGGGGAAGTGCGGTGCGGCCGCGAGTGGAGTGCGGTGCGACGCGAGCAAGTAGCGAGCAGGAGGCGACGAGCCGAGTGCGGCGGCGGTAGGGGAGAGGGGGCCTGGCTGTAGTAAAGTTAGGGTTAAGGGAGGAGGCGCTGTGGGCTTTTTGGGAGCAGGCCGCGCTTTTCTTTAGGTGGTGGACTGCTGGGCTTTCTCACTAGGCCTTTCACCGGGCCTTTGGGCATTTACCGTGCCGGGCCAGGCTGGGGGAGCGGCCCAGGCACGGCCTGGCCCGGGCCCGTTGGTCACCGGGGCGGGCCGTGCTAGGGCTGGGGCAAAAAAAACGTGACTCGTGCCGGGCCACCATGCTGCAGGCTGCATGCTCATCTTTAAGGCCCCGTTCACATGACTTTATAATCCGTACTATTCAGCTTGTTTTTTCAACCGGAATAGTGTTTTTCTCTCACAACAATTCAGCCAGAACAGTGTTTTTACTTGTTTTTTCAGCCAAACGAACGGGGCTTAGGTAGTATATAGCTTTGGACTACCAATTGGATTAATTGGTTGTGAAACCCATATTTTTCTCCTTTTTACCAATTTTTAATGAAGGAACAAAAGAGACGCACATGTGTCGTCCCATCACCACACTGCCACCACTAGTGCCCTTCACCCAATGCTTCCTCAAACCCCAGTAACCTCCCAAAGAACCATAACCCCTAACCTTGTCCTTAACCAGTAATCACCTAGCGACGTCGAGGTACCAGCTGAAGCAATTCATCCCACCAAAATCTAGAAAGTATACTTCAATATTAAAGTGCAATATTTTTTTTCGGTTCGTCACTCCACTGTCCGTCTGTCTCTCATTCACACTTTTTTTTCTCTCAATCCACCATCCTTGTCATTTTTAGGGATTGCAAATTTAAGCCAAGAGGCCACGGCAAGAGTCTGAGGCTTCGGGGGCACCCCTAGTGTGTTGTCCTTGACTCCCCACCTTTCTCACTTTTACGGATGGCAAACGTACACCCACGGTAGGAGTATAAGGTCTGGGGGCTAGTGTTGGTCCATCATCCCTCATTTCCACCCCTCTTCTTCCAACCATTGGCCAATCCTCCCTCCCTCCATCTTTCTTCTCGCTTTGACGGATGGCAATGTAGCCTGAGGCCCAATAAAGATAGATTGTATTCTCCTCCAACGACACTAGATACAGTTTAGAGCTGCAAAAACTTTGACACCGCACCACTTATCGTGGCATGGCCGGCTGCACTCGAGCCCATGCACATCACGACTTGACGCACGCAGACGTGTGACTTGTCTTCCACAATTCTCAACCTCACAATAGGTGCGTAGAATAACTATCCACTTAAGATGAGCTAATCTCCAATTAATTTGACATGCTTGATAAAATTTTTTATTGTACCCAACATTTATTATGAACCTTAAAATTTATTTGATTTGATTGAACTAAGGTGAGACAACCCAATTAAGTATGTGAAAGACAGTTAGCACATTATTTTTGTTAGGGACGGATCTAGTCATTTGTACAATAAACTATACATCCTATACATATTGGATACTAAAAGAAATATGATCCCATAAATCTCTCCCCAACTTCACCCATGGGCAGACAACCCTACCAAACTGACGAACACGAGTCTTCAATGAAGCTTCTTCTGACCGCTACAGAGTCTCCTTCCCCGGCCGGCCACAGGCCACTGATTGTGCCAGCGTCTGCAACCTCACAAAAAACACAGGAGACCAACACAAAAGCCTGCGTCGTCTGCCGTCACCGCTGCATCACGCAACCACCATGCTAGTAGTATCATCGATGACACCTGCCGACCTGCACGTCTCGGTTTCCTGCGTCCGCAGCGATTTCTTGGAATGAAGAACGCGCCATGCCGCCGTGCGCCGGGACTCGCCCAGTTTGCTGCGAAATCCGGCGGCTTTCGGCCATCTGGCGGCAGCAGCCTGAAACCCCAGCGTCTGCAAGCAACGCAGGGGCTGAAACGGATAGCACGAGACAAACGGCAATAAATACGGGTCGAGCTGTCGAGCACATTTGTATTTCGAGTCTGTTTATAAGCAAACTCAATTTTTGTCTCCTGTTGGGTTCTGAATGTAAGATAACGGGATACATATTTTCAGGAACTCTGACGCAGAAAGATTCAGGCAAGCGGTGCCCGTGGAAAATATGATATAATAGTATAGGAATTATAACCACATGGATATGGTTCGAGTATTCGTTGGACATGAGTGATAGTGCAAACGGAAGCTTGTTAGTTTCCGGGCAAGAATTAAACATTGGTCAGTAACTTCTACTACTACAAGGCACTGATATATGAACATGTTCGATATTTTGCTCACTTTTGTTTAGGCCCTTTGGAACACGTGAATTTTACAGGAATAGTATAGAAATTTCATAGAAATTGGTTCTTTTTTGCAGAAAAAAAACATGAACAGAAAAAATTCTCGCATTCCAAAAGAACCTTAAAATGTACCAAAGCAGTAAGAAATCATAAAACAATATTATTACTACTGTTAAACGCACCCTCTAGGCCTGCTTTGGAACAAAGAAAAATAGAGGAATTCTAAAAGATTGAATTCCTATAGGAAAAGTTGTTATGAATCTCTTTGGAACGACAAAGGATTCGGTTCCTATAAATTCTATAAAATTCTTATGAAATAACTTGTTTCATAGAAATTTTGAAGGAATTTTTTTTTAATGTAAGTGGTCCGAGCTCAGCCTTTGAATTAAAAAGAAAAGAATTATATGCACCAGAGGGGCAAAAGCCCAAAAGACTCATGTAGCGTGCCTCAACACATGAGAGCTCACAAACCAACCCCCCCCAAAAAAAAAAAAATCCACATAAAGAACTCGACAAAAGAAAACTCCTGAAGCAGCCACTGAGGAGGCTCCCGGCTACTTGGAGAGCCGTTGAATAGTTATTATCAAAGATTATGCAGTTTGTTTCTTTCTAGATAATCCACATGGTGTATATATGGCTAAAATATTAAAGGCTCGCTTGCGTTCTCTAGGAACCAGCCTTAGGGTGTTCTCCCACCATTCCACTATATTAGAGTAGTTTACAAAATTGTATTACATCAAACCTATCAAAAGCGCTCCCAAGAGGCGATTTGGTTCTAGACCTTGTGCAAAGGGACAAGGCAAAAGTTGAAACCCGTCTCCAATAGACCTTTGCATAGAACGCGGTCTCGTGGTGTGGCCGACCATTCCTGATCTGAGAGGTTGTCAGCTGCGAGGATTTTGTTTTGGATAAGGATCCAAGTGAAGATTTTGTATTTTTTCTGTATATGCCCTCTAGATGATGTTTGTTTTATATCATCGATAGTGTCCAAGAATTGAGCTATGTAGGCAGATTTGGTGTTGTATGGCCCATCGGAGGCCCATTTCAAAGAGGTCGAATCTCATGGAAAGTTTTTTTTACGTCACTCTCATCAAATTCTATTTTTCTTGCGCTCTATCCAAGCTTTCTTATAGTTTCCTATGTTTTCTCATTCCATATGATTCAAGATGTTATGACATTCTATTCTTATATTTTTCCTATTCATACTTTTCTAGATTCTTACATTACGAAGAGGCCCTAAACTCATACCTGATATGGATCCTTCTCTTACTTTGAATAGCATCATGTGTCCACTCTATCTCCAAAATACACACAAGCTTTGTCAAATTTTCACTCCATCATAATGACAAGATGACAAATGCAAACCATTCTAGTTAGTAAGGCGTTGTTTGGTTCAGTGGTGGATGCAGGAACGACAATGCAATCAACTGTCGGGACTAGCTGTTGCAGGAGAATTGAAAACACTTTGTTTGGTTCATGGTTGGGGTGCTTTCCATTATCATTACAACAATGTTCTTCTTCTTGTCCTTCGAGGATGATGACTATTCCTTCTTCAGCTTGGCTGGCACGAGGGAGAGGGCCATGGTGGGGCTTGGTCTCCCATCGACGTTGCTGACTCGCGACAGGCACTTCTAGCACGGGCGCAGGCGTGCGGTCGTTGTCGCCGCAGAAGCCTTGGCCGGCGCCGCGATAGGAGCCGAGGCAGCGGCGGTGGTTGGCACAGTGCCGGTGCTGGCTTTGCCTTGTTGAACTTGAGCGCGGGTGCGCCATGGTGACGGTACGATGTCTGGGGCGCATGAAGAAGCAACTCGGAGCAAGCTGGAGTAAGTACTGGGGCGGCGGCGCTGATTTTCAACGGTCTCCGTGAGATCTGTTACCATCGGGACCTTCGAAACGCAAAGCAGGGTGTGAATTAATCGATGATGGGCTGAAAACGGCGAACCAAACGGGCTCTAAGTGCCTATCGACCATACCTTCACTATACCATACATTGTTCTCAATGTTGGAATGACTTATGATTTGGGGTGGAGGGAGTACCGAGTTGTATTGGGCTGGATTGTTCGCGTTGCAATCTGTTACCATCGGGACCCTCAAAACGCAAAGCAACGCCAACAATTCAGGGTGTGAATGAATCGATGATGGGCTGAAAACGGCGAACCAAACATCCTCTAAGTGCCTATGGACCATACCTTCACTATAACATACATTGTTCTCAATGTTGGAATGACTTGTGATTTGGGGTGGAGGGAGTACCATATTTCATCCATGCTTTATGGAAGAACAAGAGTGAACGTTGCGTGTAACACTTCTGGTGTTAGGCATGCAGTTTAGTCTTGGCTAAGCATGGCATTAGGTTTAATAAGCATAGGGTAAAATGTTTACATTAAACGATGACGATAAGGTGAAATTTTCACTCTCGTGTAGTACTTTTCCCTGTTTATTTAGAATAGATAATTCTAAAAAAAATAATAGATAGATTGTTGGACACGGAAGCTGTGGACCGTGGGTGTGGGTAGGCTAAGTCATGCAAGTGGCGTGGGCTGCGCCACGAGCCCATTAAACTAAACCTTCGTCGTGACTCGTGAGCCCACAAGCCGTAGCGGTCGATGCGGCCTTTGGCACCGCGACCAACCCGAGTTTCTGCTTCCCAAAAGAAGAGATGGTGATGAATCCTAGCGCGGCGGCGACGCCGCCGCCTGCGCGCCTCCGTCTTGTCCCGACGCCGGTGTGTCTATCCACGCCCCCATCGGCCTCGATCGCTCC